TAACATCTAAAATTGTTTTTTGAAAACATTCCCATTGAAAATAGGAATTTTATTTCTTAGTAGCATTCGATTGATCGAACTTTACCGATGATGTACGAAAAATATCCGATTATTGCCGAATATAACCGATTATATATAGTTTGCAAATATGAGAAATGACTATTTTGAACATTTTATTCAATATTTAGATTTAACAAATTAGATTAATTTAAATAATAATTAAATCAAGTGTATAATTTCATATAAAAAAATTATTTTTAAATATGTGTTTATTATTATTTTGTGTTTTATTAAAAATAATTTATTTATTTTAAGTGTTTCATAAAGATGTCTGAAAATCAAATATTGAAAAATTTTAATAAAAAATCAAAACAAAAAATAGTTTCAAAAAAAGTATATATCAAGTAATCATTGTAAAAAAGTAATTCTTAGAAAATTTTTTTATTATATTTATTTAAAATAATAACTTTTTAAAAAATCTAAATTTTTTGAATTATTGTTAAAATTTTGAAGAAATTTTCCAAATTTTTAATTAAAATTATTCAAAAAGTTAAACAGTGAAGGAAACACAAAATGAAATTTACTGAATAATATTTAATTTTGAGAATTTAATTTAAATTTTACTTTATTTATACTAATAATTTATATTTTAATTAATAAATTTAAATAAATTTAAAATATTAAATTAGATATATATTTGTAGAAATTCTCTCGCAAGCGGCAATACTTTGTGTTGTTTAGTATATAAAGAAGTTCCTTTTTTTCTCAAGCATGTATTGCGACGATTATGTGAATGTGTGTATTATTAGAATAAGTTCTTTATATTGTATTAAAAGCGTGCATTCCTCAAGAATATGTAATATATGTGTGATATATATAATATAATATGTTTACTGTGATATTTGAAGGTGCAACTTGGAACATTTAATATCGACTGTGGTAAAATTTAGTATGTAGTAGTAATTTTTTTTCTATTATTGTGGAGGGCTAAAAACTTTTATGTCAATATTCCCAAAACACTATAGTAATTTTATTTTCACACGGGATGGATATTTATCATAGTTTTTGTAAATTTCATAATTCTTTTTCAGTTATTAATATATTTATAAGGCTCGTTTTCAACGATTCACCGACTTCAGTTTCCTATTTTTTTTATTAAAATTTTCCACTGTTTAGAAATATAAATCCATAATTATTATATTACTCATTCCAAATTAAGAATACTCACTCAGTATAATATTTAAATAGTAATTTTCACAAAGGTAACGCTATATCCTCGTTTACTATTGGCTTTTTGTAAAATTTGGTATTATAAAATCAAATTTATAAATTAAAGTTTCTCCGTGTACCTATAAAATTACTCTGCTTTTAAAAAGTTACTTTAACCCTCGGAGCATACACCTCTTTTTTCGAACAAGTAGCACAGTCTGGGTCGCTGTGACCCTGTATACTTTACAAAACTCCCCCATTTTTGAACTATTGGACTGATCAACACAAAAAAACTATTTTTTTATTCATTGAACCTTGTAAAATAAGAATATGCAGTTTAGAAATATTATTAAATTATTTGCATATTGAAAAAAAATTCGTGAAGTTAACTAATTAAAAAGAAAAAATTGAATTTAAAAAAAAATGTAACTTTTGTAATTTTTAATATTTTAAGCTAAAAATTGGGATTTATATTCTCAAAGTGTGTTAGAATAAGGGAAAAAATACCACCTTATTTTATTTTTTAAAAAAGGTATTTATTTTGTAGTTTAACGAAGGTAACTTTTAAGACGATAAAAATGTGATTTTCGACACAACTTTTTAAAACTATACTTTTTTAATAACATATTTACTAGTATTTTATTATTTTCTTTGGATTATCATGTTACTTATTATTCCTTATTAGTTAGTTACCACTATATGGCCTTAGGTTCGTGTTGTATTGCCGACTTTTCAAATTACACTTCATTGAAATTAATGACAGGGTCTGTGTGACCCAGTATGTGCTCCGAGGGTTAAAACAATTTTTTCGGGTGCAGTTCCGAATAAGGCCCCCCTTGGATTTTAATGAAACTCAGTATACTTACGTAGTTTTGTGCGCTGATTACGAAAATCATACTGAAAATTGGCGCAAACTTGATTATCATGGTGAAAACCATAAAAAACACTATAAAATCATGGTTTTTTGCGATTATCTCGTAAAAAACGCAAAATTTCGAAAAAAGTTTTGGAAAAAAGTTGTAGATCTCAAAAAACACACATTTTATGTTTTATGCATTTTTTACCAAAAGTCATTATTTTTCGAGAAAAATACAAAAAACCAAAAACACCATGATAATGAAAACATTTACAATGGCTGCGGATTTTAATAAGCATTATAATGGTGTTTTTAAAATTATACTAACTTTATTTGTTCGTAACATATTTCATTTTTTATTAATTTTTATTAATTAATTAATATCTCGATAACAAAAAATAAGGTATCCGCCAAATGTAGCACATGTCTTTGGCTCATATTAAGGAATGTTCATGAATTTTTTCTGCTTAAATGGAGCCCGATAATAAGTTTAAACATTAAAAATAAATTTCATTTTTTAAATAAATTAATTTAAAAAATTTAATTTTTCAAAATTAATTTTTTTTCTTAAACTTTAATATTTTCTAAGTAAAAAACGTTTAAGAAACTTTTTTCTAGGACTAAAAGTGAAAAAGTTATGAGTAATTGAAAAAAAGTTGCATTAATTTTTTAATGCAAATATCTCGAAAAATAATAAATATTTTTTTTTACTCAATTAGACCCAAAAGCTCATTTATATTTAGATTTACGTAGGTGTTATATTATATAACGTATTTATATTTATATTTTTAGTATCCAAGTATTTACACCTTTTAATCTGATGTAGATTTTTTTGGAGGCAAAAGTAAAAGATAGCAAAACAATTTTTTTAATTTTTCTTTGCACCCAAAAAAAAGTAATTTTATATTTAGAGGAAATATTCTCTTCTAATATCCTCTTATCATTTCCTCTCAAAACAAGAATATATAATTAGAATGTAGAATATTTTTATTCTCTGTTTTAATTGCAGAATGAAAAAAGAAAAAGAAAAAAAATAATGATATCAATCAATCTCTTTTCCTGTTTGATAGTTGCGCTATTGTTTTTTCAACCTGTCAATTTTTAACCTTTGTCATAAAATAAAAGTTACCTAAATTTTATCAACTGAAAAACGCGAAAATGTGAACTGGATTAATTATATCGATCCTGATTGCTTAGAGACATTTAATTTATTGTGTTAAAACTGTTCTTTGTTATCAATTCATAACTATTATTTATTCATAATACAATAAAAACTTATGTATTTCAGTTTCTTTTGACATGTCAAAATATGAGAGTATTACTCTTCTTGTAAGAGGATTGTTTCGAGAGGAAAATTCTCTCATATGATGAATATTACTTTTAATACTAAATATAAGAGGAAAATAAGCATCAAATTAAGAGGAATCCGATAGATTTAAGATTCCTCTTTTTGGGTGTGGCGTATGACTCACGTTGAAAAAAATATCTTGTGAAATAAAAACTTTACTAATGAAATTTAAGTTTAATATTATCTTAAATTTTGAAAAACAATGGTTTCTTGGCTAATCAATTTTAAGAAGTAAAGTTTTATTTAGGGCTATACGATTGTTTATTAAAAACAATTATTTTATTTAATAATAATATTGATTTCATTGTATACCCCTTAGGGGTTTTTACAATCTCCTCACAACATTATTTAATCTTTCAAAGGTAACTCACAAACTCTTAAATTGCGGCTGTAGACCGACTTTTTATTAGAAGCACTCACATTTGCCTGGACTTTTGGCCAGTGGAGAGGAAAACTACAGAAAACCTCTCCCGAGCACAGCCGGTTTATTGACAATCGAGTTGTGAATGTACATTTGGATAATCATCACAAATGTACAAACACATCCTCGACGTCAAACCTCCCGCTTGATATATTTCGATCAGTGAAAACACCAGGGCTAAAGCGAGAACCGAGGCGGACACCCATCCAAGTACAAACCATACTCAGCTGTGCTTAACCTCGGTGATCGTAAGTCAAGGCGCTCCACCGTCCGATCTATACCATCGGTTTATTTTATTTAATATTTTTGTAAGTAATTATTTGTTTGTCAACGATAATAAGTTAACATTAATCTCAAACTCAAATTGAACCTGTCTGGGTTCAATTTAAAACATTTCACTAAAATCTCAAAATGTGTTAAACCAGATCATTTTTGCTGCACTTTAAAGTGAGTAGCGTACGCGACTCATTTTTAGTTCACTTTTTTCTATAAATGAGGAGCAAGTTTTCAAAACTTGATAAATCCATATTTTCTTATTTCGAGAAATTAAAACAAATGACTTTCCACACATAACCACTAGAGTTAATTTTAAAATAAAAAATTTATAATAATTTATTTCTATAACAATGTTTTTATATTCAAGACGTTATGTTTCTAATTGAACTTTGTCATAATTGAGTGATTTACAGGTTTTGGTAATTTTTTCTAATATAAAACATACAAATTGTAAATCATCTTGGTTATGTCAATAAGTTTTTAAATAAAAAATTTGTAATTAATAAATTTTTTTTCTTAAATTTAACAGTGACAGATCGATTTGTGAGGTCCTTAAAATATTAAATTTATGGTTATCTCCATTTTTTTGAAAAATGGATTTATCAAGTTTTGAAAATTTGCTCCTCAAATAATAGTTAAAACACATACTAACAAAATTGATTAAAAGATTCCGGTTTTTTTAATAATCAGTTTGAAGACAGCTCTTTATAAATACATTCATGGATAATTAAAATTGGAAAGGAAGATGGGCATATATAGTATGTAAAAGAGTGAAAGTGTACGGCCCTGGATATACACATTCGCGTATTCGTCCTATAATGTAAACGTCTGTGGATCCGTACTCGCGAGTAACATATACCGAGTAGAGGGGTTGCTAGTAAGCGCCTTTAGTCAGTCAGTCGCACTCGGTCACCCCGTTGAAGGGTTGTTCGTGTCGTGCTGCTCTTTCCTCTCGTAACCATCGGGTATACACGTTTGTTTGCGTCAAGATTAATTAGTCGACTCATTATCGCGCATAATTAATTGTGATTATCCCTGGGTATGATGTTGACACGATCTTGTTAGGATTAAAGTGATGTGTAACTGTCACCGTGAATCATTACCACCCCCATTCAACTTTTTATTGGAGAGAACTTGAAATTTTCCTCCTTTAGTAAAAAAGAGTAAGAAACAGGACATTCTCAAGTGCATTATTACGCTTTCTGTCCTTTCTATTTGACAATTACATTACTCATTATTTATTCTTTCAATCCTCCTTACTCTCCAGGATTCGTAAAAAATTTTTCATCGAAAAGTTTTCTGTAGGATTTCTTACATAAAACTTTGACGAGAGAAATTTTTTTTTGCATTTTTCTTTTGTAATGATTGCATTTGGATATAAACTTTCAAGACTTTTTTAAATTTCTTTTTTTTTCTTGTCTAGCTATTCAGATGAGTAAAGTCACTTTTATGTAAAGAGTTTACTATATGTGAAGAAATTTGAGGGCAGTATTTGTTTTAACTTAAAAACTTAGAAGTGCAAACCTTGAACTAAACAGGCACAACGATTTAAGTCAAGTATAAATGACGAATGAACTTTATCAGAATTTTCCACCTCATTGCACTATTTACATTTTCTTTATCATACTTTACCATGGCTTTTTATTCAAAAAATGCTTTAAAAACCAATTACAACTAGAAATGCTCAAATCTCACTTAAGATGCTTTATATTATCCTGCGTAAGTTCATATATTTATATATATATATAAGAATAAATATGTAGAAACCCACATTAAATCATATATGAATTTAGGACACAAGTTGATATAAGCATTTGCGTGAATGTTTTTTTGAATTTCTATACATTAATTCATATGAAATTTTCTGCACAAATATTCTGTACAGTAAATTCTCTTACATATATTGGTTCAGCTAAATTTTTATTTAATTGTAACCGATTATTTGAAACGAATATATTATTTTTAGTGTAAATTTAAATTTAAAATAATCATGTACGAAAATGGATTGTAAATAAATTAAAATCGAGAAATATATTTATCATTTCTTTTAACACAGCATATTTCGATTTTTGGTACTGTGTTCTCATTATGAAAGGAATGCAGAAACATGCCTCTTTTAATAAAACAAATATTCTCTCTTAGAGTAATAATTTTTCTCACCACTTACAAAACCATTCCATGGGAAGAGATTTTTAATACATATTTTTTCAATAATTACTTGATTGTTCTAAAAGAAAAAGAATCTGAATCTCTCGTAAAGTTTTCGTCCAAGATTTCCAACGAAATATATTGTTTATCATTATACTCATTTCAACAGAACTTTTTACTAATAATTACAAACTTTTTATATGTGAATAAATATAGTAATATCAAAGTGAGTTTTATTGGAAAATCAAGTTATATATGTGCAACTTTGAAGACGGGATTAATATTCCAGGAACTTAACGAAGTCATTCTACCCCCATAGCTTTAAGAAACAAAGGGAAACTATGTAAGTTGATAAAGTGCGGAATCAAATTTAATCACTGTCTCTTTTATAATAGAAAGTCGTTTGCATTATATCATAAAATAAATTATACAAATCGAGGAACCCGATCCCAGAAACAAATATCTCGTTAAACAGATCGATCTCTCCAACCAACAAAGAAAATCGTTTTAAATTTATAGGCATATACAGAAATCCTTTACTAAATAACCACCCTTGTAAAAAATTGACAACGTAAAATAATTTTTAAATAAATATTTTTTCTATTTAATAAAATCAAATTACTTTTGTTATTAGAAGTTTTGAAAGGAGAAATTCTAAATTTTACGACGATTAAAAGAGTTTTTAAAAAAATTATATAATTTATATGAAAAATTTGGTTTGAAACAAATACTTAAACTTTTAAATATCTTGAAACATGTTATGATTTGGATGAAATCTTGATCAAAATAAAGTATCAGAAAGTATTTAAGTTTTTATTTCCGTAAAGAGTTTAATCGACATTTTAGAAAATTTTTATAAGTTAAGGGAGACTACTTGAAATTAATGAGAAGTGTTATTTCGAAAGAATTATGCCCTTTTCTTCAATTAATATACTTGGGGTACTGTAAGTTTGTACCAAGTTTCATTGTTATTAATTCATTACACCGGTTTACAGTTCAGTACAGTTCTATACTAGATTTAGTGAACGAAACAAATTTTTTATTTTTAGTCTCAAGTTATTTTGATTTAAATCACTTTTGTATTTAAAAGAATCATCTTTTGGTTTGGATTGAAAAAAATTAGCGGAAGTTAGACAATTTAAATGATTTAATTAATTTGTTATTCACTATTGCAATTGACAGATACACATTATGTTAATATGATAAATTTATTATTTATTTTTTCTGCGAATAAAAACACTGCGTCAATTTGTACACGTACCCCTCTACAAAAGCTTGCCCCAAACGCGAATCTGTTTCAACTTATACATAACCTCTCAACTCAGCATTCAGCTTGCTACCACATTTATATTTTTTTATGTTGTTCTAGTTTTTATGTGAATTAATAAGTGTTATTTATCACAACGGTCATATTTAAGGAAATACGGATTGCTATTTTATAAGTGAGAATGTGTCCAAATTTTCTACTTAAATAGGCCATGTGGTCTACTGTGTTGCTTCCTTCATACAAAAAGTGATGTTTTTTCCTTTTTATAATTTTAATTTACTTATTTAAGGGGTTAGTACCACATCTCAGTGACTTTTCTTAAATATTTTTTTTTTTATTAAAAAATTTATTTTATTTACTTCAAACTTTTTATACCTAAAAGAAGGGGTTTTAAACTATTAAAAAAATTTTTTTATTCCTTATTTATTACGGATTATCTTGCTGTCATGGCCGCCTGAAAATACCTCTACTTGTGATTGGCCGACACAATATCTCCAATTCAGGTCATCGAAAAATAAAATTTTTGATATTTTCTTGAAAAGTAAGCTCGTCGCTATTGTCGGAACTACAATCAACTATTTTCGATGAAAAAAACAAAATTGCGGACTTTTTTCATTTTTGACCTTATTTTTTCAACTTAAATTGTTTAAAAAAATGGTTAAATATTAATGAAAAATTATGATTCTAGTTCCGACGATAGCGGTATATGTGTAGAATAAGCCAAAAAATTTGAGCTTAATCGGTACAATAGTTTTTCTTTTATGATGTCCGCCAGGTCAAAAAAAGTTGTTTTGAGAAAAAGCGAATGTACGAAAACATGTCTTTTTTCAATAAAATACTCCCTTACGCGTCAGGATGTATTATATACATGTATATGGGTGAATCTCTCGAAAAGGACAAATGCTGAATTAAGAAAAAAAAATCGTTGTCTTCATGTTTTGTATTTAAAAAAGAAAGTTCAAAACCACTGTTATGACTATTGCTATGTGAAGAGAAGGACCTAAATAAGTCTCTAAAATACGTTGTTACGATCTTTATAAACATTATTGTTTAAAAAATAATTGTTTAATATTTTGTCGCCGATACAATGATCGAATCCGTTTAAATCTTGTTACTCGAGAGTTTTTGGGGTCACTGAACACGAATCCAGTGTTAGTTTTTCAAAAATCAAAATGGCGGATCTAATATGGCTGACGACAATTTCAAAAATCATTCCAATTTACTTGAAAATGGTTACTTAGGGGTTTTTGGGTCGCTGATTACGAATTTAAGGTCCGTTTTGAAAAATTAAAAAAGGCGGGTCCAATATGGTGGACGACAGTTTTAAAAATCCATCCAATTTACTTGAAAATAGTCACTCAGAGGTTTTTGGGGTCGCTGAGTACTACTCTGGAATCAGTTTTAAAAAATTCAAAATGAAGGATCCAAAATGGCGGACGACTATCTTTTAAATCTACAATAAAGCGTCAATCGAGAACACTTCAGTCGAAAACAGTGCTTGGGAACACTTGAGGGGAAGTGGGGAAGCGGGTAGAATTTAGGTTATGACTGACGCTAGTGTCGTACTTATGATTTTTAAATTTAAGGTGTAGGGTAAAAGGTACAGTGACCGACACCCAGACAGTGAACGACACCTGCTATTAAAAACGATATTAACTATAAAAATAATAATTTTTAATTAAATATCACTAGTAAATTAATTAATATACAATATTTAAAAACTTATACAGTTTATACAAAATTTTATATGTTTATATTTTCCTCAATACTTAATACTTTCTAGAAAACTAACCTCAAAAAATTTGCTTTATTGATTACAAATTTTATAAATATGAAAAAATTGTTAAATAATTATATTTTAAAAGCAACTTTTTTTGTACATAAAGTCTGAATAATAAAATTTATGATAATACTAATAAATATCATGTTACTTAAATAGAAGTTTAAATATTTTTTATTTTATTAAAGGGTGTCGTTCACTGTTTTCATACCATACATTTTTAAATTAATATTATAAACTCTTATCAAGGTGTTTTTTAATTGTAAACTTGTATACTATAAATTTTAACCCAAATCTTTTATTTAAAATTTATTTTATAACTAAATCTTTAATAAATTACGATAAAATGTCATTTAAAGTTGAAAGTATGCCCAGGGTGTCGGTCAGTGTACCCCTTACCCTATTCAGTGCCCCACTAGTGAAAATTCCCTTGATAAAGTTCACATTGTTGCGCAAGGCACTTCATACAGCCCTAAGTGTTTTTATTTTTGAGCGCTAAAAATCGCGTCAATCAAGAACAGCAATTCAAAATTGTTAATTATGGGTTTTTAATGTTGGTGAACACAAATCTGAAGGTAACCCGAGTAAACATTTACAAGTAAATTGGATTGATTTTTGAAATTGTAGTCCGCCATTTTCAATTTTTGAAAACTGACTTTTGATTCGTAATTATTGGCTCTAATAACTCTTACACAGTAATCAATGTGAGTCTTTAAATGTATTATGGAATGTTAGTAAACATATTTGAATTTTTTAAGCGTTTTTCTTCATTTTGCGTCACTTAATTGAAGTTTCAGAACAAAGTTGCAAATAGTGGCAGCTAAATTTGCTTTTACATGATTCTGTAACCATTTACCTTCATTTTTATCATGGGTAGAAAGTGGAGAACCATGGAGAACAAAACTTATTGAATTATTACGATAAAATAATTTATCGCTTGCATCGATTTTGTCTGAATTCTTGGAAGTATTAAAAATAATTATCCAAACTAATTAAATTGACCTAAAATAGAAATTCGTAATGTATATATATACTTCTAGGATCAACCTCCATATTACACAAATGCCAAAAAAAATTCCAAACAAAAGTAGTGGGCACTTCAACAGAAGTCAATTTTTCTTAGCTTTATAAATTTTTTCCTGCTGTGCTGACATGTCCATTTTGACGTTCTGTTTCAATGAAACTATGCATTTTAGTGACTTGTCCTTTTTAAACTGAATGCACCAAGTACCCAACTAACTAATCTTCAAGTGAAACTTCCAATTTTTAAATTTTTTTTTGAGGTTTTGTCCAGCTAAATCAGGATTTTAGACCACTGTGCGGAGGGGAGTTTTTACACTATGTAAACATGATTCTATGCAATTATTTGAAATTTTTTTTTTAATCTTATTAAATGCTGTTGACTCCTATAGTTAGACCCGCAACATTTTTAATTATTATAATTATTTATTAAAAATAATGTCATGAAAGTGTCATTTGTCCTTTTTGTGAGAATGGCCATTAAAACAAATGTTAGACTAAACTATAGAATGCATTTGATCATAAACTGATATACTTTTGGTAGTACTTTATGCTTTACTTGGGTACTTATTCGTCTGCGTGTGTCACAGTTCGTTTAAAAGTTGAGTAAAATGAATGTCCCCACCACGCAACTTCTGCCAGGACTGAATGTGAAACTCTACACGGAGAAGAAAAAGGAGAACCGCTTAACCCGCCGGTAAAGCAGTTCTCTTAAATGAGAGTCAGCTGTTTGACCGCTGGGAAAGTGGGCCGTTCGCTTCTCGAAGGGTGAACGAGTGCGCTTTTTGAGGAAAGCGGGTTAGCTTTCCTGACAGCAATTCCGCATGTATGCGAAGTCGCAGAGACGTTGCGAGCCCCGTATCCCCACTGCGCCATCTACTCAATGCACTCCCCTCCGTGACGTCAGAAGGGGAGTGCATTGAGTAGATGGCGCAGTGGGGATACGGGGCTCGCAACGTCTCTGCGACTTCGCATACATGTGGAATCGCTGTGAAGGTGAAACGACAAAAGGTGAACGGTTACTCCTCAAAAGATAAACGGTTCTCCTTTCGCCGCGAAACTGCTGCTCCCTGACGAGTGAGAACAGCTCACAACTGCCAAATCAAGCGGTTCTTCTTTTTTTTCTCCGTGTAGGCACCCGTAAAAATTTTTTACTTAAACATTTATAACACTTTTTAAAAATTTTTAAATAAGTTCAAAAAGATAAAAGTTAATAATTATCAACAATTATAGATTATAAAACCATATATATTTTAACAGGGTGCCAAGTTTTTTT